ATTCCCATAGAAAACCAGAATTAACTAAACATACCTCTTTTCATCGAAAACAAAAAAACAAGGAAAATATTTCGACTCAAAACAAGATTTAACTAAACATATTTCTTTTCAACGAAAACAAAAGAACAAGGAAAATATTTCGATTGAAAACAAGATTTAACTAAACATATTCCTCTTCATTGAAAACAAAAAAATAAGGGAAATATTTCGATTTAAAAAACAAGATTTAACTAAACATATTCCTCTTCATTGAAAAGAAAAAGATAAGGGAAATATTTCGATTGAAAACCAGAATTAACTAAACATACTTCTTTTCATCGAAAACAAAAAAACAAGGAAAATATTTCGACTCAAAACAAGATTTAACTAAACATATTCCTCTTGATTGAAAAGAAAGACTAATGGAAACATTTAGAGTGAAAACCAAATGGATTTCATGATAACAGTATGTGGTGAAGTTTTATGAAGAAACGATTTTAGTTTATTGTTTTTAAATGATGAAAATAAGATTAAATATGATTAAAGAGGCTGTGGAAAAATATCTGCTGTTACTTATGTTGAATGAAGTTGAAGAAAAGAACGGCTTGATAGTTTTGAAAATAATGCTATGTAAAAGAATTGTTTGTCACAGCGATCTGAAAGACAATCATAAGAAAAAGTTAACAGAAAAAATCCAGAAAGAATAACTATTGAAAAATATAGTATATCGACTGAAACATCATTCTATCGTAGCGAACATGTGTATATAAAAACTTCAATAAGCTATTTCGCTCATGCAGACTTCTTTTTCTCGCTCTAGTTCTCTGTGTGTTGTCTTTCTCTTCGCTTGGTTGATTCGGGCTGAAGTGGAACGGATCAATAAGAGGAATGGACAGCTTGAATAAAGGTGACTGAAAACATGATATCACGTTTTATCGTTACATATAGCTCTTATCATACAGTGGTTTTCATCTGATATCGAAAGAAAATTCTCAAGAGCAGAGGAATGGGTTGTTTATTGAAAACAGTCGCCATCTAGTGACAAATAAATATGTATAGTAGACTGTATGGTTGGTTGATTGAAAATTATATTTCTTTTACTTTTCGTTATGTTTACTTTTGCTTGATCGTCGTCACTGATTGTTTGCAAATCACAGTCGACGAAAGTTATTTTGCCTTTTGTTTGTATTTTCGTAAAGTTTTGCACGATATTCTGAGATGAAATCATTGCAATTATTTTATTCAGACTGTGCTGTTTTTTTCTAGATATTTTTTGTCGAAACAATGGCACCGAAAAAAAGTAAAGAACAACTAAAACTATTAGAAAATTTGTACGTCGTTCTTCGCGATAAGTCTTCTCGTCATTATGTTATTGCTCGTCATGAATTAAATTATAACAAAAAAGATAATTTAACAATTGGAACGTATGCTACATTTGCTTTGCCAGATGATCCATCACGTCGTTGTCAAGGTACAATAATTGTGTCAGGTAATTTCTATGAACCATAAACTTTAAAAAGATTTTTTGTTTGCGTTAACAGGTTCAAAAGAACAATGTGAAAATAGTATGTCGTTAATTGAGAAGACAATTAACAATAGCAATAATAATAGCAATACTAATAAGATTAACGACAACGATGATAATAATAATAATAATATTAATCATATTAGTAACAAGAATAAAAATGATAAGATAAAAAGCAACAACAAAAAAAACAATAGTGAACCAAATAATAATAATAATATGAATATGAATAACAACAAGAAAAGGAAAAATATTAATAAGTGTAGTACTACTGATAACAACAAGAAGCGAAAAAATATTTACAGTATTAGTAATAACAAAGAGAACTATAGTGATGACAATAGCAATATCGACAAAAATAAAAACAATAATAATAATGTTTATAGTAAAATCGATAATATTGATGATGATGATGATAACGAACGAGATGAACCTGATTCAGATTCGTCAAATCAGTTATTTATTGATGATAAAACAGAAAGAAGTGATGATAACGACAATTATGAAGAATCAGAAACTGAAAGTGGAATTATAACAGACTCTCCAATATCTCAACAACCTGTTGACCTTACTAGTACAATTTCTCAATCCGTTACGGGTAAGTGATATTAGCCTTTTTTGTTATGAATTGTATAGATCATCGTCGAAAAGGGATTTATTAACGAGAGTAGGTATAGCAAAACTGATGTTTAAAATTGGGTACATGAATGTTTCTTAATTCGATTTATTCGTGAATAATGTGATTTTGTAAGATTAAGCAAAGTTCTTGACATATTCTCTCAAATATATAAGAATCCTGTTTATTATATTATAACTAGTCAGCAATTACCAAAGCATCAGTTCTCCAACGAATCATTTGTTGATAACCATTGAAGTCAAAGATTTTCTACTTCCTTTCTGTATTTAGTTGCTAAAAAAGTTAATCATACTGATACAGTTCTTAATCAAACTGAACTGTCTGCACCATTAAATCTCAATTCAAAGAAGAAACGCTCGACTGCAGTATCTCATTCGGAATACGAAAAAATGAAACGTGAAAACATGAAACTGAAAAAAGAAATTAATATGTACAAAAAAGGCTGGATGCGTAAGTGTTTTCTAATTTGATTAATGATACATTTTTTTAAAATTTAGCTAAGCCATCTGGGCCTGCGGCAAATTACTTTATTGAAATTGGAAGAGCTTTATCCGGTGTTACTGTTGATGAACCTCATGAAGAAGAAAAAGGCGATGCATTAGAAAATATATGTCTTGCGCTAGACATGAATGAAAAAGAATTAAAATCATGTGAACATGATACTGATATAACAAAAACATGTCGACAAATAATTAAATTTATTTATCCTGATGCTAAAGAACGTTCAACAATGCTAGTCTCATCAATGGATGCTGATAAATTAAAGTCCATACAGAGTAAAATTTGCGATCATTACTTATATCAATAAATAATTTTTGCTTTTCAGGATATGCCAGATTAGTTCATCCAGCACAATCGAAAACTGCAAATTCAACACTTAATAATGCTATTGGAAACGTTTTCGCTACTGATAAACATCGATACGAAAAGAACGACAACAACAATACAACAGAAGATGACGAAGAAGCATAAGAATAAAACTGATTTATATTTTTTTTCAACATGTTAATATAGTAAATTTTTTTGTATCATAAACGCTTGTTATTGCTCATTAGTACTGAAAAAGAATTGTCATATTTCAAATTTTTTCACTCGTTGGCTCATGCTTTTATAATAAAGATAAATCATAATAAAAAAGTTGTTTTCGATTTCGCTTGCAGTGCTACTTTTCAGGTTATTATGTCTAATGTACATCGGTCTACTGATTGGCGGCGTAGACAGACAAAATTGCTTAGAGACGATCTTGGTATACAAAATATTATAAATATTTCTGCTCAAACGTTTCATTTGAATTTCAGTTATGGCGTTTACTCGAGCCACTAAGCATCAAGAAACTGATACTGTACCATCTGTTACGGATAAGATTACGGATTTGGATCTCGATTGTGATTCTGATACTGATGTATCAATTAGTTTTGATGGAGAGATGGAAACACCGGTTGAAATCAATTCAGAAGAAATAAAGAAAGATGATGATCGAAATCATGCACCGTAAGTTGTTGCGATTAATACTAGAAAAACGCATGCTTATCACTACATTAATGTTTTCTTAGACCAATATCTGAGCTTTTTGTGTTGCATGATGAACAGTCGGATGTCGAAATAGAGCCGCTTCATATTGCAACAGCATTAATTGCTCTCAAATCCAGACATCATCTATCACAAAGTTGCATTGAGGATATTCTTGCTCTTCTAAGCATACTCGGTATTAATACTCCATCAAGCTACAAAGCATTATGCACGCTTCTTCGAAAACGATCAAAAACACATTTAAGTCCATCAACACATACGATATGTCCACATTGTGAGAATTTATCACATGAAGCATACAGTTGTACGACATGTGGTGCTAAGTATTCACCTATTTTACCGTCCAAAATCCCCTTATTTTACACGTATAATATTTCACAGCAACTGGAAGCAATACTCGCTACATCACCCGATTTAGTTTTACACAATAAAATTACTATCAGAAAAACAGCAATGAAGGATATAACTGATGGCAATGTGTATGCTAGGTTAATTGAAGATGACTTGGGGCCATTTATTACTCTTACCATGAATGTCGATGGTATTCAGCCAAACAAGGGATCCGATCAGAGTATATGGCCGGTTTTATTCGTCATCAACGAGATTAAAAGAAAGAAACGATATTCTCCCGAAAATACAATAATTGCAGGAATGTGGCCTGGGCCATCGAAGCCATCTCGTACTGAAATATTTTTTTTTTTTTAAATATCATTTCAGAGCTACGAGAAATGGAACAAGGTCACCTATTTAAACTGTATTCTTCTGAACATGATTATCGTTGTGAATCACTAAAGGTCTTCTTGATTGGTGCATGCTGTGACAAACCAGCTCAATGTCTTATACAGTGCTTGCCAGACCCAACAGCATTCTTTGGATGTGGACATTGTGAGATCGAAGGCAAGTTAAGTATACCATTTTAGTACTAACAAATTACTATTTGTAGCAGCACTGTTTTTTATTTTTATTGCTTTTCTTTTTCTCCGATAGTTTGTTCAGCTTGAAAGGGTTTACCAAAATATTAGAGATAAAGTTTTCTTGAAATTTCAAGTGTCTGTAGGAAACCTAATATAAGTTTTTTCAAAATTTTTTTAATCTTTTCCTGACGTCTAATTTACTGCGGAACTCGTGTATAATTTCAAAATAATTGGCCAGTACAAGTTTTAGGTGGAAGTTTCCCGGCTACCACTGTCGTCATTCCATTACAAACATCTCACCCTTGTAGACATTAGCAAACAAGAAGAGTATATATGTGAGGCATTTTTGCCTACCGATCAATTATCTGAAAAAAAAATGAAATGTACAAGAGACTTTATACTTTGTGCATTGTGTATTAGCCAAATCATGCTAAAAGTGTTACATGAGTTTCACATTTCAATCCTAAACGGGTGCACTAACAAGTATTCTGACTTGTATCTAGTTTCTTCAGCATACCTGAGAAGATTATGTGCTGTGTGAAAAACGAATATATACTTTTAGGAGTAAGTGTGCCAACACAGAAGGATGGCTCGATTGTAAGTTTTGCAATATATGAAAACAATCGACTTATATGTGAACGTACAAATGAGCGGCACGATTTACTACTAGAACAAAAGCGAAAAAATGAAATCGAGTTGGGCAATTTTACTAGATATCGTGGTCGTCGTGCACTTATTGAGACTCATAAAAATACCGAAAAAGGTGTTAAGGGTCCTTGCTTACTTCGGACACTATCCTGTTTTGATGTCGGTAGTTCTTTTCTCGTCGATAGCTTACACAACATCTATTTAGGCTTATTCGTAAGTGCGTCCATAATTCGATTTTTCGATATTTCTTACGTTTACTTCATTACAGAGACGACTTTTATCAGTCTGGCTCAGCCATCAATACAAGGATGAAGAGTGGTCAATATATTCACGAACAAATGAGTTATCAACTTTATTAGGTCGAATTCGTTTTCCATCTACAACAACTCGCCATCCACGCCCTCTTCATAAATTTGCAAAGTATAAGGGCAGCGAAATTCGACTTGTCTTACTGTTTGGTTATTCAATCTTTGAGAATATTCTAAAACCTGAATATTATTGGCATTTACTGTTACTTGTTCTGGCAATTCATTATGTGAGTTTAAAACTATAGGATTCGATAAAACTATAGGATCCAATAAAAGTACAGAATAATATGAAGATTTAATTTTGTAGGCAGAATCTCGCTGTTTGACTTCTGATATGGTTGATATTGTTGGGAAATTATGCAGAGCGTTTCTTTATGAATTTCCAAAATTATACACCGCTCGCCACAATGTGCAAGTATATCGTTTATTTTCTTTTTAATTTTAGAGACTTCAAGTGATTTCACATATTCCTGTTTAATTCTTTTATGAAAAATAACCTCGGAAAACTTGAATACTGCTAAAAGTGTTTAGATAGAATTATTTAGTATTATTATTTTATTAAAGATCGAGTAGAATGCTATTGTAAATTATTATTCTGAGAATATGTTCGAGTCTTAATATTTCTAAACTACGGCACTAACTAAATTACTTTTTTTTAGCGTCAGCACCAATCTAGACATGAAGGAACGCACATCAACTTGCTTTCTAACAATTATTCCATCCATATTCATTACGAATAAAACAGCTTAAAATACTTTTATCATATATTTATATAATCTTGCATTATTCAAGATAAATCTTAAACGAATGTCAAAATAGTTTTACTCCAATTAAATGACATTTAACTCATTAAAACCTATGCATAAGAAAATGCCCCTTTTACTTTCTGTTCACTGAAATTGCCCAAATCGCATTCTATATTTCTACTATTAGGTTGTTCATTCAATTTCGCATTTACCGGGAACATTACATAATTTCGGCCCTTTAACGACATATTCGACATTTAATTTCGAAAATCAGCTCGGTACGTTAATAGTTATATTTAAAAATTCTTTCTTACGATTTTGAAACTTAAGGAGTGTTGACACGTTCTTCGAAAAGTACAAGACGACATGCCATCGAAATAATGAATAATCTAATGTATCTTCGCGACGCATGTTTCGAAATTATGAAGCCTGATATGAATATGGGATTACACAAGTTAATATTGCCCTGGTTGCATATAACAAAATCTTGTTCGATTTCATCTAGAGACAGTGTTCGTGCATTGCATCCAGTTGAGACTAACGATCAAACACTTAATTCAATCTTTCCTGGTAAAATTGTTTATTATTCGACTGCATTCATCGGTCAAGTACGATTTACAACTTCTCATTATGCTCGAAATAAAGTTAGTGATGATTCATCAATCATCTTCAAAACTGGTTCGAAAGAAAATTTCGGTCGAATTCGTCGCATTTTTACTGTCAATGGTGCTGAACCTATGTTCTATGTTGATACGTTGCCAAGCATGACCGCTTTCAAATGTAAAACGACATTTGACATCTATTCTTATTCTTATATTCAAACTGGTTTATTCGACGATGATACAAACACTATATTCATCAGTGCAAAAGACATCATCGAGAGATGTGTTTTTTATGAACGTCCCAACAAAATTTGCACTTTTTATAGATTTCCAAACTTAGAAGAATGTTCTTGAACTAATTTCTATACACTGAGCCTATGTCAGTTCCTATTTTAGATTATTTCAGCTGTAATTCATGGGCTTCATCTTCCCAGAAAATCAAAAATTATCAACTGATTCAATGCCTTTTTATGGTGCGTTCAAAAGTAATGATAATTTTTTGAATTTGAAAACTTTTAACATTATTTCTAATATGCATTACAATGCATTGAATATTAATGCATTATAGTTCATTATAGCATTATTCCGAAATAATGCATTAAAATGCATTGAAATTTTATTGAATTTCGAAATTTTTAAGATTTTTTTTTAATAATGCATTATAATGCATTGAATATTAATGCATTATAGTTCATTATGGCATTATTTCGAAATAATGTATTAAAATGCATTG